AGATTGTTGAATTGCATACATACATTTTTTCAATATAACAGCATATTCGGATGGATACTTATGGTGGCATTGTTTCCTAACCACATGGTCTTCGAAGCCAAGTACATAAAACTGAAAAGATGTATATTCTACATGTAAGATTAGGGAGGGTTGGCAGTGGTGGGCGTGGAGATATTCATTCAATCAGATGGCATGGTTCAGCATTGAAAACGTGCTTATTATGTGTAACTTATTACTATTCACATTAATTACATCGTTCTATACCCAACACAAATGTATTTTTTCAGGAGTACGAATTATCATTGTTAGTTGTCACGACATAATCAGACAGTGTAGATGATGATACGACTTCCACATAAGATCTTACAGATTGGGGAATCACATGACAAATTTACCGTTTTCGAATTAGTTTCGAAATAGACTAGAATTATACATACTAACAGGACTTAAAATGCAAAAGACTGTGTAGTTGTTACATTTATATTTAACTGATTCATTAGATGAATAAACGTGGCAGTATTCAATATAAAACACAGCTTTTATCAACTAGTATGTTGTTTCTCCACATAATATTCCATATCCAGAATTTTGTTAACTTTTTCACCGGTAAAGACTTGATTTTTAGAATGTTTTGGGCCTTTCTATTAGTTGACAGAAGTCATAAGTTGGATATCAGCGAACGTATAAGGGTCTCTTCAGCTTAATGTAATTCTATGAAGCAACAAGTCATTCGTGAAACAAACGATTAAACTTTATTATCAGTATCAACTTTAAAAATTAAACGAAATAGCAGCTAACAAAATGTACCTGCGTCTTACTTGTTGTAAACAGTGATCGTCTAGGATTTCATCTAGGGATCTGGTATCAACAAAGAAACTGCAGGCACCAAATAAACGCATTCAAAAGCTTAAATTATTATTATGGAATCTGAGAAAAATCCAATTACAACGTTTATAATACTAATAGCACTTTACTGTTTACATAAAATAATGACATCACCGGTAAGCAATATTTAGATATTACTTGTCAATATACATTAGAAATTTGTTTAAAATTTGGTGAGTGATTAGGGATTCTGTTTACAGAAGTTTATTCATAAACCCTAAAACAGACACATCATAAACTAGTATTAACTACGACATGGTTTGGTTACCATACTGAAAACAAACACGCATCGCTTTACTCATGAAGATTATGTGACTAAGTAATGTGGTACTTACAGTAATATTATACACGGTTCCTATACATGTTCATAAAGCAGGCAGAAAATACAATCAACGTCAGTTGTTACTCATAAAATTTTTCTCAGAGACGTTACATAAGATGGTAGTTCAGTCGAAAACGATTATACTTATAATGGATAGAACTGTTTATAGCTGTAGATTAGCATGTTATATAATATTCATAAATAGTTTAACGCTAAATTACTGCAACTAACATATTATAAACTTCTACCAACATCAATGTTCATCACCACCATAATTAAGGTGGTGATTCCTATGTAAAGGGTATAGGAGCTCATTCTTGCTCGAAATTCTGATTTCGTCCTACTTTTGACCTAATAAATGGTGAACTTCACTTACCTGGGTTTGTATTGTTACAAATAACCACATCAGGCTAATTAAACATCCGCCCATGTTGTGAGCAACAAATACGTCAAACTGACGATAAATTGGAATAAAAGGTATGGAACAAGCACAAACATTACGAAAATTGACGTTTGACGAAAAAATGCTGTTAATAGCTGATAAGTAAAGACATCTAAAATCGTCGACAACGTGTAACCCATCGCTTGACTTCTTGATCGTCCCTCGAGCAATACCATATCGATAAATTAACCCCACGACTATGATCTTCTATTAGTAATAAATGTTGAATGTAAAGCTTCCGAATTATCCTATGTTTGATTTCAAGGAGTGTGTGGTTTAGATTAGTACTACTGCAAGTCTATTGTTGTAGTCTAAGTGTTGCGATGTACTATCAAATAGACTATTAAAACATTCGTGAAAACCAAAAACTCACTAAACAGTGAACTGCATAATTTCAAAAGAGAATTAATGCGCACGATAAACTCCGTTATATTAGCGAGCGATCGGCACTATAGTACACAAATTTAAGTTCGTGGAAGCCGTTTACACATTTAACTTGAGAAACCAAGAATTATAAAACCATTAATGAAGTGTTAAAGACATTTTGATAGGCCAATTTCAGGAATTAAGAATAAATTCTAAGTCTTGTTCAGATGAACCATCAGTTGTTTTAAAACAAAAAGGCTCCACTTCAGGCATCTTAGGTTTGGGACTATCTATATGAATTCTCTCTTAATGTCAAGCCTCAGCCGCTGATCTACACCGAAGACCTCAAAATTGACAGATAATCGACAGTGGCGATGTATGTGCACTTATGGCTGACCGAAAAGTTCTGATATGTTGGTTTAAACTATGGTTAATATCTATCAATGCGGCCGAGTACGTCTGCATCCACACTGAAGACACATACGTCAGTGACATTAACACAGAGGACAATACAAAGCATTTAGTACTATCGTAGATTGACCTGGAGATAATGGTTTTAATAAACAAACTTCACAGTCGTTGAACTTTAATTAAAAGTTTTAGAAATGTATAGACGTCGGAGAGAGCATTCACTCATTTAGAGATGGTCAAATTATGCTATATAAGTTTAATTAGAAAATGGAATGCCTAAAAGGATGCCAATTTTTGAAAAGTACATTCACTTCTCTAGAAAATGTACGGAGGACAAGTATTGACAGAATTCTCGAGATAAGTGTCTTACTATTTACATAATGACTTGAACAGCTAGACCTATATGACATACAAGCTCAGAAATCGGAGTAATTTAATTTCAGAAAAAATGACTTTAAATTCGGTGAAACGTCTTTATTTTAGCTAGGTCAGAAAAAATCAGATGACATATCTAGATGTTTCAAATGGCAAGAGAGAATAGTACCCATGAAATATATGTTTACTCACCAAGAATTTTGCTTCTGGGACTTACCGTTAGAAGATTTCTCTTTACTCTAAATAATCAATAAAGATTGATACATGTACTGCTTACTATTTCTTATGTCCTTCAACTACATCAGTGTTTACGATATGAACACTACACACATTTATTTAGCACATAAGTAAAACGAAACAAACGAGAACTGAAGATGCAGCAGTAGCCTTCTCGAAGTATATGTGTATAAATATTGTCAATGTACAAAATACGGAGATGTAAGGGGATAGACAACAAACAGAATATGAGTACACGGACATACACGCACCAAGAAATCGTAAAGCAATTCACGGTCAACAGAAAACGATTATCAGGACCAGAAACGTGGGTGATAGTATAAATGCAAGGATTAGGATAATTTACTCAAGCGTTATAAAATGTCGTCGAAAGTCATTAAACAGACCACATATCCAGTCAATTCGTTCGGAAGAAAATAAGATACTCACAGAAACTTTCTAGAAAATAAATAGCACCGGTGATCAGGTCTTCTGCTTGTAATAGAAATGTATGGGAGTTAAATCTGGAACTTGAACGCGTCTGAGCGCCAATTTCTACTGCAAGGTTGTAAAGGATTTTTGACTTAATACTTGGAGGTAGGTGTTATTTTCTTCTTTCATGTGCAATAAATTTATGAAATGATCTAAGCATGTGATGTTAATTTAATAAATATATAGCAAACCATCGTTTGTCTGACTATTAGCGTAAGGGAATTGCAAAAAGTCACGTGGTTAAGTTGGTTAATCAGTTTCAAACAGTTTTATTTACGGGTCTTGACTCGTGGTTATTTGTCTAGTCATTTTATGCAAGTTCACAGTGGTCCAAATTATGCAATTTTCACCACTTATGTGGAAACATTCGACCTGAACCTCTACATTGTTCTTCACGAAACAACTAACAACGTTTCGTAAATGAAAGACCTAATGCCTAGGTAGGATCTCATATTTTTCACTACTTGTCAGCCAATACGATTATACCCCTCGGTGTACAGCTTTAAACGGTGGCAAGTAAACCTTATTCACACCCATGGCTTACCGTACTTCGCAAGGAACAACTATACCTGACGCGTATCATATGTTATTATTACTATCACTATCATACTAATTATCATTACTTAATATATGATCACCTCATCTCCTATCAGCTTCGTTTATCCGTCACCTCCAGACTTCTGTCTGTTCACATTGTTTGCGTGAACTCATCCTAATTGTTGTCTTTTCTACAAAATCGGACCTCATAGTTTTTTGTGTTGCAATAACACAATATGATAGCTGCTGGTCCTAGAAACTCCACTGGCTTAAAACAAACGCACTTATATATGCATACGAAATATTAGCAATCATATTCACTAGGTACAATACACACATAGGACTGACAAATGCTGTACTGTAACATTGAGGAGCTGGCCCATATCTATCAGTTGGTCTTCACAAGCTCAGTCGTCCATTGTAAGTTTTTCATATACACTTTTTAAACTCATTCCATACATAGTTTATGGAGTAATTATCAGGGTGTCTATTTATTACGAGTTGCATTTAGAATGCTGGCTACGGTAATTGTCAGTAAATTGTGTAAAACTCGTACATATCATAAGCGATCGGTGGTCCGGCTAGTTTTCTTATCTTGGATGTGTTAATCATGTTTCGTCGCTTTTAAGTGACCTAACACTGCCATACATCAGGTTTGCCTTCAGCTGGTTGGACAGAAATGTATTCTGGAGTTATTTGTTGAAGCAATGTTATCTTTATTCAGGCGCATCGCAGTAGCTTAAAAGCGTACAACCACCTCTTTGCACTGTCATAAACTGACGTGAGTTAAAGCCATAACATATATAAGTACTTTTACTTATCGTTAACTGAACATTTCCATTCTCTACTGACTTTAGTTACAGATCACCAATTTGATTGATAATACATTTGGATATAATAATCACACTAATATGCTAACCTAAAACTGATAAATTGTGTTATACATATAATATTATGCTTCATGTTTACGATACGAACAATGATGACAACGGCGGTCATCCGAAACCTTCAAGAAAAAATCAGCTGAATTGTCATGGCATTTTTGTAACCAGTGAAGATTTAAATAATTCACGTAAGCTTCCTTTTTACATTGTTGAAATATTCGATTCTAGTAGATAATTGAAGATTTTTTGAATATCTAGTCAATATTAGTCGAAAAATCAGAGGGTTTTTGTGATATGACTCAGAGTCAGCCAGTGATGTAGATCCGTATAGCATTTTGTAAAATAATAGCATCTTGGTTTAAACGTTGTCATAAACTTCTCTCACATTGCTATTACGCTAGTCAAAGTTACTCAGCGAGATAATGAAGGACCTATTGCTTACGGTGACCAGAAGATTGCATTTGTCAGCGACTTCCCCAAACAAAACTATATAATCTGCGTATTACAAATTCACAAGTGAATTTCTTGGTAGAAGATTAATTCATGAAAAGCCGGATGGTGAAAGTGTTATCTATAAAAGTACGTCTATGACAAAGTTAAGTAAACATGGGGAAAGCGGACAACCGTGACGAACTATACTTGACGTAACTGATCCCGATAACAGTTCGCCATAAGGTCTGACTCCACTAGTAGTGTTCGATTAGAGAGCCTGTACAGCGTTAATGTACTTCTTTGGTAAGTCTTTCAATGACAGGTGTTGCTACTGAACCTCACGATCAACACAGTCGAACTCCACCTTTAGGTCAAGGAATGAAACTATATTTGGACGTCGAAAAGTGTCTGTGTTCCGAAATTTGCCTAAGGGTGAATATTTACTCTATGCATCGACATTCAGGTCTGAAATAATTCTGGTTTTCTTGGGTTTGCTCTTTGTAAGCTCTAGTTAGACATCGAAATATCATTTAGGTTAATATTTTAGACATTATATTAGTTAAATTGATTCCTACATGACTGTCACAGGAAGATTTTTGTATTCTTATGAAATGAGACGATCAGTGATCGAGACCAGTCATATAGGATTACATCCAATTCCCAGATTTCAGGTAATTTAGGTGCCAAAACTAGACCACCATCCTTAAAAATCCAGGAGGTTCGTCCATCAGGCCCTGCTACTCTCCCTCACTTGAGATTATTTAAAACCTTTGCAACCCTGCTAATAGTTGAAGGACTTGTTGTTGAAGACCAATTGAACTGTTCCCTAATGTATTCTACCCATCGGTTCAATCTCCTGGACTGAGAGTGAATAATAGTCCCGTCTTTTTCCGAGATACTTTCACTAACAGCCGTATTTTTAATACCGTTTATGGATACCATCCCAAGCTACCTCGGGTGTCATTTTCACGGTGAGCTGGCTCCTTCTTTAGTTGTTCCTGAAATATTTTCTTAACTTTTTTCATGATGAGTTTGGGCTCTAAGGGGTGTTGTTGCTGTGGCTTTTCTACGTTTAGTAGGTCGCAGACAAATACGTGCTTGAACTAGGGTATGATCTGTGTGCACGCATGTGCTCTACAATGAGCGACCGTTTTCAATTGAGCCCCTCTAATGATTGCTAGTGGCAGTGTGGTCTATTTGAGTCGATTGTGGAGGTCGTCACGTCAGTTGATGTTTCTCTTGATGTTTAAAGTTGGTGTTTTCCAGAAGTAAATGGTTATCTGAGCGTATTTGCAACAGACGGTCTCCATTATCTGTCCGCTGAGCTTTAACACCGTAATATCCGCATAAGTGTCTTTCGGTTTGATTTAGTTTACCTATTTTTGCATTTAAATCACCTGACACTACTAATAAATCAGAGCGTTTAACTTTTTGAAGGAAGTTGGACAGTTTCCTATAAAATTCATTTTTAACTTCGTGAACAGACACGAAGAAAAGGTAGCGGCGTGTATTCCTATCTTTCTTAGTTCTTACTGTCCCGTTTGGTCGGACAGTGCATAGGCGGTTGTCTGTTAGAACCCAGTTTAACGGAATCTGTTTAGCTTTCGAATTCAATCCTGTACCTACACCAGCGAGTCTACAGGAAGTACCAGTGGGGTCTTCAAATACTCAAAGGGTAAATTGTGCCCGTTCTTTATATTGACAAGGTCAGGCCAAATGAATGACCGTAATTGAGTCCTGTACATGCGTTTCGGTGGCGCGAGATTCCAGAGTCGTAGCTGAAGGAACCTGTTTTCCTACCTGACATAAGGTCCGAACTCTAAAAGCTCCAACATGTAGTTTAGAGCGTGATTTCGGGGAACTAGGAACAACATTTCGTGAGCTCAAACCACTAGAATTAGTGGCACATGGTTATAAAGGTAAATGAGAAGAATTCATGGTGGTCTTATTGACTTAGGAGCGTGACCGAAGAGTCCAAGGAACAACTGCCTTCAGCCGGTCGTGCACAGCCTTGTTATGGTAGGTTTTTGATATATTAGCATTACACTTTAAAAGGCATTACCGTTGGAGATGGAAGTTCGTGGAGTACGGTGAGGTGTGACATTTTCAGGGTCGACCTTTTCTAACCTCCTTCTTCCTCTATGGGAAGGCACCTTCGCTGGAGATGTTGGTTGTCCGGGGGAATCACCTTACTGCTGTCACACTTGTCTATAGTTAGCAGTATAACTCCGCTCTCGCTCCTCAATTTTCTGCGTTTGGTTTTACGGTTCTCCAACCTGATTGTCTGGCATGGTAGAACCTAAAGGAACACTTATTTCAACTAATATTGCTCAGTTGAGTCATCTTGATAGGCAAGCTCAACCACTATATCAAGGTAGCAGCTACGGTCGAGAACACACATCTAGACTGTAATCATATTTCAAGGCAAGTAAGTGTTTGTTTACCTTATTGGACTGAGAAAGACCGCTTAGAGTCCAGCTTAACAAAGAAAATATCAAATATATATTTCAGGAAAATATACAAAAATACTAATCAGTCTTTAAAATAATGTTTACAATCTGACTTTCATCTATTTGTTTGTTCAGTGTTTTTTTTTCTCTTTTCATTTTCCTCTACCTTAAACAAACTGAACTTGTTCATGTCAAATTTAATTTTAGTTCAAACATTGTCATCTTCAGTTGGTTCGCAAAAAGTTTATTTGAAACCTTTACCTAACGAAAATGAGATGTTAAATTCTAGAATATTGAATGATGATAAAAAACGACTACCAAAAGTAGGTTATCTGTTTTTTCTTCTGTATAAGAAAACATGTCTTTATACATAGTGAGAAATGATCAAGGATCAGTTGAATGTGTTTGTTTGTTTGTTAAGAGTTCTTCCATAATAAATTTTCTTTGATATCACTAGTTTTAACGAAGTCCTGCATATTTTTTTCCTTAGATATTGAAAGTAGGTCTTGAAATTGTATAACCTGATTTTTAGTGTGTGTATAAGGTAATTGGTAAATGTAGTGTAGTGTATTGTAGTACTATCTTTTCTAAAAGCAAGTTCTAATTACATTATGATGAACATAATAGAATGAACTTCTTACACAATCATCATGAGTTTGATCTAATATTGAGAGCCTAAACAAGGTGACTAGTCACGATGATTCGGTTTTTCACTAGTTCTATATAATTTGAGTTATATATTTTTATCACTTACTTACGTTTGTTGCTCCTCGTGAAGGAGCATAGACCATCCACCAGCATCCTCCATTAAACTCTGTCCTGGACAATTCTTTCCAGTTACTATTCATTCTTTTCATGTCTGCTCTCAATTTTCGACACAATATGTTCCTTGGTCTACCTCTTTTCCTTTTCCCTTCAGGATTCCAAGTTAGCGCTTGCTTCATGATGCAGTTTGATAATTTCCTCAATGTATGTCCAATCCACTTCCAACGTCTTTTCCTAATTTCCTTATCATCTGGAAGCTGGTTTATTTTCTCTCATAATAGACTGTTGCTGATGGTATCAGGTCAACTGACATTGAGTATCTTGTGTAGACAATTGTTTATAAATGCCTGTACGATTTTGATGATAGTTGTAGTAGTTCTCTAAGTCTCAGCTCCGTACAATAGAACTGTCTTAACGTTCGTATTGAAGATTCTGACTTTGATGTTTATTGACAGTTGTTTTGAGTTTCATATGTTCTTCAACTATAAGAATGCCTCCTTTGCTTTTATTTTTATCATGGTAAATGTTTAATCTATCAATTAGTATCTCTAATTGTAATAATAAGTAATTTTTGTTTGAACCCTTATATATTCACTCATTTGTTCATAGTACAGTAATGTAATGCGTATGAACCAATTGTTGGTCACCGGCTGGGTACCATCGGACTGCATCTCCTTACGATGCTCCACTGCCTTGTGAACCAGATCTTCAGTTCGAAGGCTCGGGGTGTGGTCCCCTAAGAAAACCACCTGCTTCGGTTTGGGCACCAGAGCAGTATCACAGCCCTCGCACATATCAAATGGGATTTGTGTGGCGCATATATATTTGGTGCCTCCTTGTACCAATATCTATGTGTTAAAATAAATAAATAAAGATCAATAATTGACATTTATTATAATGATAAATGATTAATATCTATTACTTGACCCTATAAACTACCCAATGCAAGATTGAACATGGAGACAAACAATAAGAATTGATTTAATACCAAGATCAAATCAAAAGGATATCTAAATATATTGATTAATAGTCAGATGTGTATGCATTAACTGAGTAGTGCTTGACATTAATTAATCAATCAATAATTTATTACATAATCACATATTTACATGATCATAAAACTAGATATCCCTTCTTAAGATGTAACTGTATGTTCAAGATGCTTGGGAAAAAAAACAAATCAATTTTGTATCTCATTTACACTGTAAACCCTCCTTCATTATGTCAAATATAAAGATATTGAGTCACTAGAAAAAAAAGAAAACATTGTCATATTAAATATGATTCATTAATTCAACACTCAAGAGTATTATTAAATAATATCACAATAAATGTAAAGGTTAGTGTTACTAGTCCATACTGATATAATGTAAATAGTAGGAGAAGAAATATACATCAATACTTGAAACCCATTTCATATACTTGAATTTAAGTAATGTTGAATAGCTTTATTAGATTTTACTCTTTTGAAATATCAATGGTTAACATCATGAGTCAGTTGAAGCTAGACCATCATGGAAAACCTGGAAGCACTGGATGGCTGTTTCATTCTATTGTGGGACTCCTCAGCAGTGCGTATCCACGACCTCGCCCCCTGAGAGATTCGAAATAGTTTAATTCACTAAGAAATGAAATGAAATCAGATTTTTCATATTTTTTAATAATTTAATCATCAAATTATAAATGAAGAAAATATTGAGGTGTTGCAACCATTCATCTAGAACAACTACAATGAAATTGAATATTTGAATCTTACCATAAACGTGACTCGAAAGAATCACATGTTTTCAAATTAGAGATGTATAACTCAAGAGTGAATATTTATTCATTTATTTCAACACATAAACATTGGTACAAGGATGCATTAAATAGATATACGCCACATAAATCATTCGATTTGTGTGAAAGCTGAATACTGCCCGGGTGCCCAAACCGAAGCAGGTGGTTTTCTTAGGAGGCCACACCCGGAGTCTTCGACCTAATGGTCTGATCCACAAGGCAGTGGAGCATCGTGAGGAGATGCAGTCTCACGGTAGCCGGTGACCAACGATTGGTTCATACGTCATTTGTTCCTTCAGGATGCTAGAGCCTATATGCACCATAGGTTTGGAACGATGATTTTCCAACTCCCCTAGGTGAACTTTCCGTGTCTACCAACCCGGTTAAAGCACCGGACATTCTTCTTTCGTCCTCTCAATTTCGTGAACAACACCCCGCCACGAAAAGTCAGTGAGTAGGACTTCCCTGGCAGAGGCTATATACGCGCAGCCATGTGAAAGCATTTCGAGAGGGTGAGCGGACTCTCCCCACTCTCGACCGTGCCAGGGCATTTGGGGGGGGGCAAGAGTGAATATATGAACATTGTATTCGGTTATCAGCACAACAATTATAGTTCAAATTATTATGATAATGAGTTGAAGTACGTTAGTATTTAAAAGATGGTGATGATCGTGGGATTTTGAAATTACTTTGCATCTAATGAGTTAAGAGCCCTTATAAAAATTAAAAAAATCATTTCGTAAAAGACACAATCAAATCACTTATAGTTTGGTAATTGTAACAAGTTTATTGAGTTTTCAAGGTTTGTTATCAGTCTTCCGATCCTAATATCTTAGGAATACCACTGTATTGTTAGCTGCATTATTCTAAGTGCGAGTTTTTTCATACTAAAGATCTCTCTCTCTCTCTCTCTTTGAATCTTTTTCGCAACCATAAATAATTTATCACAAAATCTTTAAAATTCACTGAAAAGTTACAGAGGTGAACTTATTAGGGAACTACCATTGTCACTATATTGATACTACGATGTCATACGTAGTCGTTACCCATTTGGGCATTCCTACTTCATCAGATCGCTTATTATTACTATTATTTAATAAATCACTGATAAAATGAATTCGATTTGAGTTTACCATAAACAAAATTAGTTGAAAAAAGAAATGAATAATTTACATTTCGAGCAAACACTTGATTAAAAGAAAATTGTTTTTGTCAGTATAGGGTTATGGAGATTGTTAAGTGTATGATTGAAATCATGAACTGATTGATGTTAGACCATCATTGAGAACCTGGAAGCATTGGACAGCCGTTTCGCCGTATTGTGGGACTCCTCAGCAGTGCGTATCCATGTGTGAGATTGTGTTATTCTTTGAGACGGGAAAACTCGACTAGAATTATTGGTTATTTGAATTTTGTGAAATACTGATCAATATACATAATGGTAATATATCATTGATTAATTTACTTATATACATGATAGTTAGTGACTAGCTAATTATGTAATCCAAACTACACGTTACACTTTATTTGATAACATCAAAATAAAATTAAAACCTTATTTCTATTCACATTTCATTTTTACACGGATTATTACAAACACCAGAACGTTATCCGTCAGATCATCAAGTTACAATAAATAAACAGTATTGGTTGTAGATTGTTGTTGGTCTTAACCATATGATAAATTGGTGTAATCTCGATGATATCTGCTACTTTGACACAATAGTCGGGTTCGTTTATTGTCGTGATCTAGTCGAGCTATGTTGGCTGGTACATTCGTTCTTTTAGGTGCTACTATAACAGTTAGGTCAGCTAGAAAATGTTGAGACCAAAAGCAACGAACGGAAGGTCCGGGAACGAAGTCGTATTGTCCACTGCCCAAGAGTATGATGACGATGAGGTGTTTTCCTCAGGAAACTAACATCTACACCTATGCTGTTTTCTCACAGAGGAAGTAGAACGATTGAAAAGGTCAACCCTAAAAGTAATATGCCATCATACCGCACCAATTTTTATCACTGGATACGAGGCCTTGAAAGTATGGGCTTACCACATCAAAAACTACTTTAGAAAACGGCATGTGTGCCCAGCCTCAAGCAGTTGTTCCTTGGATACTACGGTTACAGTCACAGGTCATCTTGACCACTCCTAACCCAATTTTGTCTCTAGATACTTTAAGACAGAATATCCTTTCGTGATGTAAGCGACCGAAGGTGTGACAACAACTCTAATATACCTCAAACATCACTAAAGATTATTCACACTAATACAATCTAGTTCTTGTAAGTATAATTATCCCCTTTCTTCTATTTGAATTTTATTCCATTATTAGTGTTATGAATTGTTATTTTCTATCTTAAATACTACCTATCATCTATATGATTGATAAGATTTAAGTATTTCTCCACAAGGTTGTTTGCGTTCTGCACCAAATAAAGTAAGTTAAAAAAAAACAAACTAAAATTTGTCTTGTATGCATCGATTTTTCACAATTTGTCTAATCAATTGAATTGTAATGCATGTATTTCGCTTACAATGCTAATGTGTTACTCAAGGTATGAATATTTTTTTAAGAAGAGACTATTTTAAACAATTGTATTCTTAGTTTTAGTGTAGTGAACAACCACAGGTACAATTCTCCAGTAAATTCTATACTAATCGTTCCTTTAATCTTATTAATGATATGATCCAGTGATCGACTATGTTAATATATATGGGTTTTTTTTCAAACACACAAACAACCCGTCATATAAAGGAACTACAGAGTAAGTAATATTGA